TTACCTAGCTGGGTAATGAAATGTTTGCAAGAAAAGAACCAAGCTCAGAGAGCCCCAAGGACTTCACAGTTCAACCCTGAGCTATACATATTCACCTCTATTAGATCTTCTTTTCTAATGGATCTTAACAGCTTTCCGTTTCAGTGAGAATATAACATTGTATTATGATCTGGAAACTGACAAGAAGCTTTCAGAACTAGCCTGTGCAGACTATTTGGGGGCTAAAGATCATTCACAGAGCTCACTGGAATTTACTGCAGCAGACATTAGTAGGATTGGAAGTTTGATTACAACCCTAGTGTATTTCAGAACCACACAGTATCACTGGGAGTTGGGTGGCATATGCATTTAATAAACTATTACTTATTATTAGAACATTTGAATGGCTCAAGTAATACGGATTTCCCCATGCCCCAAGTCCTTCTGTGCCACCCCATGGTGGTGTTGGTAGGCTGTTCCTGGGAGGGATGAGTGAAGAACCTTGGGAGTATATATTCCCAGCAGCGTCACCCAAGGATGAAGGTCATCCCAGCTGCCCAGCTAAAGCAAACAGACACCTATATTGGACAGCAGGAATACAGGAAGATGCTGGAGGCAGATGATCACTTTAATGACAATGGTCAATTCATACTGCACAGGAGAAGGCAATGGTAAACCAGTCCTGCCTTTTTAACTAAGAAAACCACATGAATGGAAAATATAAAATGGATAGGCTCCTCAGGTCAAGTAGCACTCAAGGTGCTACTGAAAAATCTGGAGGTTGTCCTGGACTCACAGCTCTGGCTCAAAGAGCATATGCCAGTTGTGGCCAAGAAGGTCTCCGCACAGCTCTGTCTGGTGTGCCAGTTGTACCTGTTCCTGGATTGGGAAGCCCTTCAGATGGTCATTAATGCCCAGTTGGATTATTGTAATTGATAATATAATTGATAATGGGATGATTATTAAATATTAAATTGAATGGCCCAATACTTCGCAAAATGAAAATAACTTTAATCCTGACTACAACAAGCACTTTCAGGAGACTGTTCCCCTAACCAGGAAAAGTGGCTTATGCTTTCTTTTTATTGTTCTCTTCTTAAATTGTGTGTCTTCTTGCAGTGGGAATGCACCATATATTTTCTCTATGCAGGGAAGTGGTTTTCAATTGCAGAATTAGAAAAATCTAATTTCTTCCCTACATATTTGAATAATTATACTCAATACCACATTCCTTCTGGGAAATTCATTTGAGTTTCATGGTAGAATTTTACTGATATTTTTAAGGGGAAATGTATATTACTTTTTTACATAAATACATAATCTGGTTTTGTAGCACTTTTTTAATGCTAAAGGCTGCGTTTCTCTACATGTGTGCACATGCATCATCCTCAGTGTGTAATACTTTGTGTAATTCTGACTTGCAACACAACAGAGAAATAGTATTATTGCTAATTTGTAA